CACCCCTTGGTATACTGATGGACTTAGACTGGCAAAACGTGAAAAACGTCGAGCCGAAAGACTTATGCGGAAAACAAGACTGACAGTTCATAAAAAAAAATTTTAAATCCAGATCAATCCAGTCATCCAGATTATTAATGCCTGCAAGGAAGGAATACTACTCGGAAAAAATTACAGAGATCAGAAGCGACCAGAAACAACTTTACAGGATAACTAACAATCTTCTGGGTAACAATCATGGTCCTATTTTCCCAACTCATGAAAACAAAGAAGAACTTGCAAACACCTTTGGGAGATTTTTCTTGGGAAAAATATTCACCATCAGAGACCATCTTTCTGCTTCTACGGATTTAGAAGATGATGCTCTATATGCGGACATCGGATTTATTGGATCTTCTTTGAACTGTTTCCACCCAACCTCAGAGACTTAAGTTCGTAAACTCATCATGAACACAGCTTCTAAGTCGTGAAAGTTAGATCCCATCCCTACACCAATTCTTAAGTCATGCATTGACAATCTGCTTCCTATTGTTACGAACATAATCAACAAATCCTTGGCAGAATCATCGGTACCATCATCATTTAAAGAAGCTATAGTCCGCCCACTACTTAAGAAACAAGGACTCGATGCAGAGGTATTCAAGAAATACCGCCCGGTTTCCAACATTCCTTTCATCTCAAAGATACTTGAAAAAGTGGTTAGTACACGAATAGAACATCATCTTGTGGCGAACAACAGGATACTTACCAATCTGCATACCGAGTACACCATCCCACAGAGACAGCCCTCCTGAAGGTGCATCATGATATCGTATCAGCACTACATTCCAACTCATGTGCGGTTCTCTTGATGTTGGATTTGTCAGCGGCTTTTGACGTAATAGATCATTCTATCCTTCTCAATCGTCTTAAATTTTCCTGTGGCATCTGTGGTGACGCCCTGCTATGGATGGAATCTTACCTAAACAACAGATGTCAGCGAGTCGCGGTTCATTCATCCATGTCATCTAACTTTCAGCTAAAGTTCGGAGTTCCACAAGGGTCGGTCTTAGGTCCTAAGCTCTACAGTATATTTTCAAAACCCATTGGTTGAAATCTGTCGCAGACATGGAATGTCCTTTCATAGCTGATGATACCCCGGTACATGTATATATGATCATCAAACCAACAGCGACCTGGGATGCCGTAGCGGCACGGTTAGAAAAATGCATGTCAGATATCAGTGCATGGATGAAAACTAACTTGCTTAAATTAAATCAAGACAAAACGAAATTTATTGTCTTTACGCCAAAAAACAGATCCCGTGATTTCGCAAATTACAATTTGAATTTTGATGGTCAAATCATAAATGTATCGTCCTGTGTTAGAAATTTAGGTGTATGCTTTGATTGGTCACTAAGTATGTGCGACCAGATAAGTTCTATTTCTAAACAGTGCTTCTATCAGCTGCGTAATATCGGTCGGATACGTAAATATATTACAGAAAGTACTTGCAAAACCTTAGTGTGCTCACTCGTCACCTCTAGATTGGATTATGGCAACGCATTGCTATACGGGTTGAGCTCGAGCTCCCTATCAAGACTACAAAGAATTCAAAACACTGCAGCGAGAATAATAACTAGGACCAAGAAACAAGATCACATCACCCCAGTTCTGATTTCTTTGCATTGGTTGCCAGTGGAATTCCGCATCCAGTTAAAATATCAATAACAGTATTTAAAGCATTGCAATGGATATCACCGTCATATATAAAAGACCTCGTTAATTTGTATTTCCCTGCGAGATCATTGCGTTCAGAGAATTCCAGTGTTTAATTCAGTCTCGTGCTCGAACCAAGTCATATGGAAATGGTCGATTTGATGTTAGCGCAGCTGCACTCTGGAACAGTCTCCCATCAGTTGTGAGACATGAACAAAATCTTAAAAGTTTTAAAAAGTTTCTAAAGACTCATCTCTTTAAAATGGCTTTTTATCATTGACATATAAATATTATTGAAATATTTATGTTCCTGCCTAAGCACACTTTATAGACTCTCTTTATTTTGTAATACTATTTTATGATTTGTGGCTATTTATCTCAGTTTAATAATGTACATAGTTGTGCCCACTTTCATGATTTTATGGGCTAATTTTTGAATAATTTTTATAATTGTTTTCATTACTTTTATAACTATATGTCTAATTTCAGATTTTTGATTATGTTCTAATTTATTGTAAATTTTTATCTTTAATGTTAAAGCGCTTTAGAGTAATTTTAATTATATTTAGCGCTATACAAATTTTATAATGATAATAATAATAATAAAATTCAAAACATCGGGTAAGGTTTAGTGCGAATGTGTGGAATAATTATTTTACTGACAGAACAGTCGGATTCTAGCAGCACTTTTAGGCAAAATAGATGTTTTTCGACTATATTATTTACTAAAAAAAACTTATTAAACTCCGGGATATTGTTGTTCTGATAGTTTTTTTTTATTAAGGAACATTTTGCTATTAATAGAGGTCTCATGATGCCGTGGTGGTGGTGCTAGTCGTTGCGTAAGATACTCTTTTATCCTTATGCAATAGTTAATAATAGTATACAACAAGAAAACATTGATGTAACCATCAATTGTCGCCCGGGAAATAAATAAAGTAAATAATGGAAATGAGTCTTGATCATCAAACCCCTTCGATATGTGAGAAAAAGGCATGCCTCTAAATGATGGAGACGATAGTCGAGAATATTTTGATAACTTACAGTCGGATGAAAATCAAACAAAAACGATACCATTTCAAACTTAATAAATTCTTCAAATAAACGTTGTCTGCATAAAATATAAATTAAAACCAGACGCATGCATCACCTATATTCAAAAATATATTTCACTTTAAGAATATAAAACACGAACTGTGCAAAGTACGTTTTTATGCGATAAGTAAGATTCTATGTTCTGAAAAGGGGGACCTGTCGTTTTTTCGATAATAAATGATACGCAAATTTATATATTAAATATGAAAAACATATATTTTTACAGATTCACTTTATGAAAATAAATAAATAATGTATCTCGTAATTTATACAGGGAAAGAACATTCTGATTAACAATCTTTTTAATGTTTAGAAAACCTTTAATTCTGAATAACTTCTCCCACCTCAATCCCCATACACCAACACTTAAACTTATATGTATAGAGCAGCCCGGTCCTCCGGGCTGCAATAATGAGCGGTTTTGGTAAATTATCAAACTTATTTTTTTTTAATGTCTAAATTTCTCGAGAAATGATTTGCATGCTACCTAGCTTAACTTACCCACGTGCACTTAAAATTATGCAAGTACCAAAAATAGGACTAGATGTATTGATTGATTGATTTATATTGTTTAACGTCGAGGCGGCAATATTTCAGCCATATTTTGGTGGAGATTGATCAGTAATTGACTTTATAGATCTTAAGAGACAGACAACAAGCTGATGGAAGAACGACTTTATCTAGAACTGAGCATGCGCACATAACACAAGTATGGAGAAACATTCATGAAATAACAAACATACATAAAACATCAACAAGATGAGCATAAAAAATACTGATGCTGTCGGGTGTTCAGAATTTACTTGCACAAATACTGTAAACCAACTTTTAGTCGCGGCGACTTTATTTCGCGATTAACCGGGGTTAGACTAGTTGGCGACGATTAATTTTTGGAGAAAAAGCCTTTTTTGGTCTATTGTTAATAGACAAAGAGAACTGGTTTGCGGCGAGAAGTATTCGCGATGACGAGGCTCTCGCAAACTTCGCGAAAATTTCTAGCACTCGAAAAAAGTTGGTTTACAGTATAGGATGATGTGGACGCTTTAACCATCCATCATCTACGAACTCGTCAGATATCTAAATGGTGAATAGATACCAACTCTTTAACCAGAAGTATATACTAAGGGGAAAACGCTTCTAATACGAAGAAGACAGAAATGTAATACTGATAGTTAAGGGGAAAATATTTCTTGGATTGATGGTGGGCGTACAACACACTGGGGGAGATTTTGATGTCTTTAGATTGATTTTACTTTTGTTCATCTAAGCTACAGAGTCAACTACAACATTAAGATTAGAAGAAGGAAAAAATTGTCTTCAACAAGCGAAAGTAGTACCATATCGTATCAAACTGACGAGACAATCAGACCTCCTGATAAACCAAAACAACACTTTCAATACATTTATGTCATTTCATCAGGGGGCGTTGTCATCACAGCAATTTTAATTATAGTTTTTTTAATTGGTATGAAATATAAAAAAGCGATCAAATAATATTTCCGTCCCTATGAGCGATAAAGATCAAGCATTATCCGGAAATGAAACATTGAACTTGGATGAGGAAACATACATGGAAATAGACGAATGCGTAGTGCTGACAGGAAAAAGTGAAGAGGTTATAATATCAAGTATTCCTGGAAATAAATTATGACCTCCTCTTGAAGGAAAAACAGATTAAAGATTATAATAATCTCCATAATGAACAAAAACATGGAGAAGTGTTTGTTAATGTTATAGATCAAACCTCCATGAATTCTAAAAAGATTCCAATTCAAAGTCACATTCATGGCATAATTTTACTAGTGTTCCACATAATATCTGCCAAGCAAAACTAATAGTTACCTAGAACTCCCTGAAGACACTTACCTGGAACCCGTTTTTGACTCTGCAACAGTTCATCCAAATAAGAATATAAGTAATAAAAGTTCTATAAAGACACATGCTCAATATGACGATTTTATTGGTATCATTAAGAAAAATTAAACATTTAAACTGCTTTATGTTTTCTTTATCAGTTTATAAAAAGCTTTTCCTTTTTTTTCTTTCTTAGCACATAAACTTTATGAAAAAAAACTTAATGAAAATATTGAACATTACCCGGTCTTCAAAAACAATCATGCAAAATATACATTAGTAACAGGGCAAAACAATGGACCAAAGCACCCACGAGCCCAGTGTAACATTCAGGTATACGGAATATTACTTTTCATGTTTCGTATAAAATAAAGTACCTTACGATTTCCATTCAATACGTCATCAAAATACGATACATTAATTGAAATATATGGAGATAAAGAACAAAACATGGGTCCAAACAAACAATACGAAACAGGAGCAGAGCAAACGATGACCTCTAAAACATCAGAGGTGGGAGTAGCTAGGTGTCATGGAGGAATGAGCATCCCCTACCGACTAGTCGAATCAGCCATGAGATTTCTTGCCACGATCGGGAAGTAACAGAAAAATCAATGGACAAAAATGGCCTAATTATGGTAAACGTCATTCAGCGATTGTCTTTACTGTATGATAAATTGTATTTGCTACCAAGGCATTTGTATCTACCATTGAACTAGCGAACTGGTGAAGCTAAACGAGATAGCTGATATTATTGTTTCCACAAATTGTTTGTCAATATCTACAATGTAGAATAGTTTTTTTAAATTGTTCATAGGTGGAGCATGCTCTTGGGGATTGAATCAACTGAAAGTATATGTTAGTGTACAGGTGAAAAGGGTATATTGCTGCATAAGTAGGGAAGCTGACGATTGAAAACTTTTAAAGAAACCACATTTAAAGCTTGGTTGTTATGTTACTATTTAAGTCTTCAACTAAATAAGATTCTAAAATATGATACAGGTATATCAGAATCTGCGATAGTTTTAATAGCAAGCTCACTGGAATATATAGGATCCACATATGAAGATAATGCATTTGCTAACAATATTATCAAATTAAATTTTGTTTTAGTTGCCTGCCTTGGGTGAAAATTTAAATCTAAACTAAGTATGCTATTGAAAATAGAAAAGCTAAAAAACATAACATCAAATACTGTAGTTGGAAGATAAATTAATATTTGTAGAGAAAGTTGATTTGTAAAGACTTTTAATCACCATATATTTATAAAATAATTGATCCTCATGGTCCGTAGGCGGTCAAGCATCCAAATATAAAACGATTGTGGCAGACTATGCATAAAATTTATTCTGAGTTGGACTTTTACATTTTGTTTATTAAATGAATCCCTTAAGATTTTGTTTAGAATGAAATTGCCTGCGAATGTTAGCGCTTAATACTTGCATAAACAATTGTTTATTTGTTTCCTTGTATTACTCCATTCATCGAGAAAAAACAAGTCCCTTTATTCAGTCATTAATGAAGATGCATTTCGTTCATTTAAAAATCTATATTTTCCTCCATATCCATATTTTTCTGAACCTCAAATTGCTGGCCAGTTCTCAATTCTGCGGCACGTGAGTAACTTTCTGAATTAGTGAACCTCTCTGAAATACTTTTATGTCAAATTTATTGCTAAAATATTTCAAATTTGAATATTTTAAAACTTTTTTAGCAGAATTGGAGGGTTGGATTACTGCTGCGATAATTACTATTACGATAGAATGAAGAATGATTGTATAGGTAAACAATCACAAACAAGTTTATATCAAGTAGTATTTCTAAAATGATCGTTTTGAATGCTTAATTTTCTCTGGAACTAAATAAAGGCTTGATATGCATCTTATGAAAACAATGATAACATAGAATATGGTGAATATTTATGTCTCTTTAATTATGTATTCGTTTATCGTTAATCAAAATAACTCGTAAATAAAAGATTCAGCAGATGTTATATGGAATTTAAGCAAAAAAAATGTTAAATTGCTCAAATATCGATGCCCATCCGAGTAACTTATTATATAGAATTCCAATTTTAATTTGTGAAATCTGCATACGTACAGAATACTTTCTCAGTGTCTTCTGATTTAAAAAATGAATACCTTTAAAAATAGTTCTGCACTAATATTTGTGGTTTGTTATATTTATTTTAACATTTTCTTATATCAGATTGTCCGATGGGTTCTTATGGCCAAAATTGTTCCAAGGCATGCATAAAACCAAAGTTTGGCTGGTTGTGCTACTATACATGCGAATGTAATATTGATGAATGTGACATTGTAAAGGGATGCCTCAACGGTAATTTAAGTAACATTTAAGCATAACTCTCTTTATAAATGCCCATTTTTAGGGTTTGAGTGTATTCGAATACAATATTCCAATATATTAACATTTTCACTAGTTATTAGTCCAACCTCCTCCTTAAAATTATATTTAAAGTTTATATTAGCTTATAATTTTTTAACAGAGAGTGATTTCAGCACATTGTCACCTGATAGTACAACCATCACACCAATATACGTGTCACCAGCATCAAGACAAGACCCGAAATTCCTTAATGATCAGTTAACTAAAACATCTCAAAATACACCGGCACTTCCGATGACAGAAAGTAACATGGTTATCGTGCTTACCATTTCTATAGCGTCGGGTGTTGTAGTCATATGGATTGTAGCATTTGCAATTTTTTGCGTCATTTCTCGAAAGAAAGTATCATTTTTTAATCACAAAACAGAAAGATCTGGACCTGATACGAACGAAGTTACTGAAAGGACTCACAGGAACCAAGAAATTGACATTTACATGGAAATTGAAGAAACACCAGATATATCAAGGGAAGGAGATATTGATACTCAAGACAATATCATGACGAGAACAAGTTATGATCAGTTATCTAAATCAGTATCAGACTCCTCTAAATATCATGAAATCGGTAAATATTACACTGATATTGAGAAATATAAGACATTTACAACTCACAAGGTTTTGCACGGCCAGGTGAAATTAAAGCGCCACTTCTCGTGGCACCATGCATTGGACACTTCAAGTGCGCCAAGTTCCCCAAAGAAAGCCAACAGTTACATTGACATATGTGAAGACGATACTTATTTACAGGCTGTTTTTGCTTTAACAGATATTGTAGATTGTAGAAAATATATATATGCTAATATGTCTTCTTGCCATAACTTGAATTTAAATCTGAATTCTAATTTAAACCAGCCTAGACCAAAACTTGCGGAGTCATATGATGATTTTATAGCAATTCTTAATTAAAGGATAACTTGCAAAAAGTATGTTTTATTTTTTTCATTTACAAAAAAATTGATTTTTTTCGTTGTTTATTCTTATTTTGCGTTGACGGATAAATAAAGGTACGAGAAGGATATCGAGATAATCAACAGTATTCAATATCAAAGTCCATAAAACAATACAAAATAGGAGCAGAGCAACAAACACGGGCCTCCGAAACATCAGAGGTGGGATTAGGTGCCATGGATTAGTGATGTATGATAATATTTACAATTTGATATAAGAAATTTAAACGGCTCAAAATGATCATTAAGAAGCCGGGAGGTTGTTTGGCATATGTCAAGTTTAAAGTGACGCTTATACATTTAAAGATTTTGTCTATGCGTAGATTAGAATATCAACTGAAAATGTCAATATCTTATCTAAAATATATCTTTAATATATCTACTCATATGACTTACTCCTCATGCTCTCTGCTCCATGGTACCTGATCAAACTTCTGATAGTTTTTAGGTCCGTGTTTGCTCTGCTGCTATTTTCTATTGTTTTAGGAACTTTGATATTGAATATTGTTCGTTATCTCGATATCCTTCATTACTGGTCACGATGCAAGTATCATTAAAACTGTTTCCAGCTCTACCTAACAAGTTTGTGTGTGATAGAATTATATTATAATGTAATGTAAATATAATTATATAACTGATATTCCTGTTCAAAAATAAATTTTAACAGACATGTTCTTCGGAGGGAGCAAAAGATCACAGTACTAAGGACCTCATTTTAATTTATTAGAATGAGATCTGTTGGGAAGGTTTTCTTTCTTTATAACAATTTAGGCTAAATATTCATTTCTTTTCAAGTCGCCTGCTTGCCGCAGTGGCTAGAGCGGCTGCTCTATAGTCGCAAAGTAAGGAGTCAATCCTTACGTCGCGGGTTCGAATCCCATTGTGAGACGTGGAGACCTGTTCTTCGGATGCGACCGTATAAACCGAGGTCTTGTGTCGCAGTAGGTGCTGGCACGAAAAATATCCCTCACTGTGCAATGACCCTAAGTGAGGAGAATAGGACAAAATTTGTACATCTTCAACGGCAAGTGTTGACGTCTCCATATCAGTGAAATATTCATGAGAGGGACGTTAAACAACATACAATCAATCAATCATTTCTTTTCGAAATTTTAAACATGTGAAAAAAAATAAACCGGGATACTTGATTAATCTTAATAACTTAAAAATATTTATATTTTTTATTTTATATAAATAAAATATTTTGATATTTAAAGGGGAAGGAAATAAGCACACCTACATAATGTGTATAAATAATAGACTAACAATTGTTACAACAATCTGAAAAACGTTAGACAACATTTGACTTAGTGATCAATTGAATTTGCGACCATAGAACTTACAAAATGATTACTTTAAACGAGACAGCTGAAATTCTTGTTTCATCAACTTGTTTGTTATTAACGTATCTCGCCTTAGAAATTGTGCATAGGTAGAGTATGCCCTTGCGTATCGAATCAAGTGAGATATATAAACCCAGTATGCAAATGATGAAAGTATATTGCTGCATAAGTAGGGAAAGTTAAGCTAGAAAAGTTAAAGTCATCACGTTTATCATAGAGCTTGGTTGTTAGATTACCATTAACATCTGCTTCATTCAAATATACCAAACATGTTACAAATGTGTCAAACCCTTTGGTATTGTTTATTTCAAGCTCGCCAAGATGGATGGATATGGGAATAACGAACAATATTCAATATTATAGTCCACAAAACAATACAAAATGGGAGCAGAGCAAACACGGACCTCCGAAATATCAGAGGTGGGATCAGGTGCCATGGAGGAATGAGCATCGCCTGCTGGCCTGTCACATCCGCCGTGTGTTATGATCGGGAACTAACGAAAACAATTGTTGTCAATTCACTGTATAAATAATGGACTAACAATTAGTATGAAAAACGTCAGTCAGCATTTGACTCAATGATAAATTGTATTTGCATGCTGACATTGTATCGACCATAGAACTTACGAAATGATGACTTTAAACAAGACTGCTGATATTTTTGTTTCATCAACTTGCTTGTCAATAATTTACCTCGTTTTAGAAATTGTTCATGCGTAGAGCATGCTCCCGCGTATCGAATCGACTGAGATATATACAATCCATATGCAGTTGATGAAGGTATATTGCTGCATACGTAAGGGAAGTTGTGATAGAAATGTTAAACTCATCATTTTTATCATATAGCTTGTTTGTTAGATTACCATTAACGTCTTTTTCAAGTAAAATATCCAAGTATGAAGCAGATGTGTCAGACTCTGTGGTATCTTTTATCTCAAGCTCACCATGATATATCGTATCGACATACAAATGGAAATTTCCATTTTTAATTGATTATACGTCGTTCATGTATCTACATGTCGAGTTGACGGCCACAGCAAGTGTTCACGTCTTTTCGCGCAAGATTTTGCACTAATTCTGCTTCATATACATGTTAATACTAAAATAGGTCTTCTAATAACGGAGCGCAATCGGTACCCATGGGAATTCCAATATATTGTTGGAATACCTGGTCTCCATATATGAAATGAGTATTGTCGATCAGAAACTCAAACATCATTTTAATGTCAACTTCAGAGTACCTGTATGTGCAATCAGAATGTGTTTTAACAAAATAATTTAGCAAATAATCAAAGACCAGGTAAGTTAATTTACGAGTTCCATTTTTATTGAAAAAAAAAAACAGCCGTCAAAGTTATATAAAACGCCTGGACTTTAATTTTTCATGGGGAATGGTTGTGTATAAAGTTGAAAAGTCGTAAGTTTTAAAACTGTTGATTTTGGTAAAATCTTGGGATTTTAAATGTTCCAAAAGTATTTTGAATTTTTGAATATCCACATCTGAATAAAACCATTTCTTGAATATATTGTTGCACAGTACTCTTGTATTTTTTCCGTCACTACTGTCAATATCTTAGTTAGGAGAAAAGAAGGAGGCTTGATTGATCATTTACTGGAATCCGCAATGTGTCTTTGTTTGCAAGGATTCTTATGAAGTTTCGGAATCCATTATATATAAAATCTTAACGTATTAAAAAATGTTAACTCTAGATCTTGGGACGTATTTACTTTATTTCGAGCACTGATCTTAAAAATGTTTTCTTGACATTACAAAGTAAGTTAATCTTTTCTATCGAATTTTGCATTGAATGTACTTTCTGTAAATGTTGACGCTTTATACTGGCATTAACATTTATATATTTGTTTCCGTGTTTCACTCAATTCAAAACTCGTCCCTCTATTCATTCACTAATGAAGATGCATTTTCTTCATTTAAAAATATATGTTTGCCTTCATATATATATTTTTCTGAACATCAAATTGCTGACCAGTTATCGATTCTGCGGAACGTGAGTAGATCTCAGATTTTGTGGGCCTTTATGAAATACTATTATTTCAATTTGATTGCTAAAAAATTTCAAATTTCAAAACTTTTCAGCAGAATTGGAGCATGGGGTTATTGCTGTGATAATTACTATTACGATAGAATGAAGAATGATTGTATAGGTAAACATAATATTTTGCATCTATTGGGTACTTTAAAAAGCACGTAATAAATACTTTTCTTTTCTTGAACTTAATTAAGCCTTCATATGCATCTTATGGAAAAATGTGGTGAATAATGTGATGTTGTGGATGGTTAGATATATTCCGACAAAATTTGAAGAAGAGTATGTTTTGCTCATGTTTGTTTATTAAGTATCTGCTGCATCTGTTCGCCGATAATTAAAAAAAAAGATGTGTTAAATAAATAAAAGTTATGCGGAAAAAAATCCACATGACCAAAATTAAAGAACTAGCCGTGTTCAAATCATTTAAATTATACGTTTTGCAAATGTCTTGTAAAGTTTATATAATAAAACGATTCAGAGGGTGCAATGGGGAACATAAGCTAAGAAAATGTTTAAATTTACTGATATTTCAAATAAAAGATACTGAGTTTCGATGTTTTTGCGAATAAATTTTTATAATTTAGAATTCCAATTTTGTGAAATCTTCATTCTTATGAACTACTCTCTCAGTATCTTCTAATTTAAAAATTAAATATCGTCTAAGATACATATAGATTCGCACCAATATTTGTGTTTGTGGTAATTCTTTTAACATTTTTATATCAGTGTCCAATGGGTTCTTACATGTATGGCCAAAATTGTTCGAATGCTTGCATAAAACCCAAGTTTGGATGGCTGTGCTACTACACATGTGAATGTGATAATGATGAATGTGACATTATAAAGGGATGCCTTAACTGTAATTCATTAACATTTATCCATAACTCATACATGCCTATTTCTCAGGATATGCGTGTATTCGTTTATAGTATTCCAGTTACTGAACATTTTCTAAAAGTCTTTTTTTTTAAAAATTCAACAGCTATTAGCCCCCTCGCTAATGTCTGTCTAGCTGTCTGTCTGTCAATATGTCTATCTGCCTGTTTGTCAGTCTGTCTAGCTTTCTGTCTGTCAATATGTCTATCTTCCTGTCTGCTGGTCTGTCTTGCTTTTCTTCATCTTTTTGTAAACTCTTTTAGATATAAGCTGAGTTTTGACATGTGAATAATTATTGTCCCCTCCAGTTTCACGGGTTGGGGCCTAAAAACGTTCAAATAACATGGTACACGTGTCACTGAATATTACATACAAAATTTCATACCGGGTATAGATTTAATATTCTCTGAAGGGAAATCCAAATGAATTTTTTTAATGATACTTATTTTGTCATCTACTCACGATAACTTAAAATTTCAAGTGAAATTCACCTGCAAAATATCTGTCTAAGTAGGGTTTGTGAAAAAATGAATTGTTTTAATTCCAAAATGACTTCAATTATGTCTAAAGTTTATTTTATTTGTACTTTGGTCAAAAAGAGTGATTTCAGGAAATTGTTACCTGACATTTCAACCATCACACAAATGTACGAGCCCCCAGTATGAAGACAAGACCCAAGAATCCTTTAAG